GGGGATTCGAACCCGCCACCTTAGGTGTACGTGGCTGGCGCCTTAGCCGGTTGAGCTATAGGCGCCGAGCCCTATCTGATGATATCTTAAGCCAAGATGAAAAGGTGAGATACTAAGAAGAAAGGTTTTATTCATGGAGGAATGCGCTGCTACAGAGCACACTCCTCAGTCACAACTGTTTCAAATTCTTCACTGGGAGGCTGCACACACAAGATGTTTTCATTCTCAGCCAACTACATATATGTTAAGGTGCTCAAAAACTGGCAGCTACAAATTTGTCATAACCAGTTTCCTAATTAGCTCTTTCTTCCTACCTGAGTAGACCTAAGCTTAGATTAATTTTAATGCATTCAAGATGCACTGTAGGTGTGGGCCCACCAATTACCCTCCCTCCACCCATCGTCACCCCTCCCCTCCCCTCCCTCTCCCCTTTCTCCTTCTTCTTGGGCTATAATTGGGTTATAGCTTTCATTTGGAAATGTGGGTACTTATAAATTAGTTTCATAGTAGGACTGAGTACATTGGATACTTTTTCTTCCATTCTTGAGATACTTTGCTAAGAAGAATATGTTCTAGCTCCATTTATGTAAACATGAAAGAGGTAAAGTCTCCATCTTTTTAAAGGCTGCATAATATTCCATAGTGTACATATACCATAATTTATTAATTCATTCATGGGTCGATGGGTACTTGGGCTTCTTCCATGACTTAGCAATTATGAATTGGGCTGCAATAAACATCCTGGTGCAAAATCTTTGTTATAAAGTGATTTTTGGTCTTCTGGATATATACCTAGTAGAGGAATTGAAGGATCGAATGGCAGGTCTATTTGTAGATCCCTATGTGTTCTCCAAACATCTTTCCAAGAGGAACATATTAGTTTGCATTCCCACTGGCAGTGTAGAAGTGTTCCCTTTTCTCCACAACCCAATAGTTTTCTTAGCCTGATGAACGTCAGATTTTAGACCCATAAGTAAATAAGATGCTAAATCAATTTCTTTTTTTTTTTTTGGAGACAGAGTCTCACTTTGTTACCCTTGGTAGAGTGCTACAGTGTCAGTAGCTAACAGCAACCTCAAACTCCTGGGCTTAAGTAATTCTCTTGCCTCAGCCTCCTAAGTAGCTGGGACTACAGGGCCCTACCACAACGCCTGGATATTTTTGGCTCAGACTGGTCTCTAACCTACAAGCTCAAGCAATCCACCTGCCTCCGCCTCCCAAGTACTGTGATTACAGGTGTAAGCTACAGCACCCAGACCGATAATTATTTTTTTTGAGAGAGAGTCTCACTCTGCTGCCCTGGGTAGAGTTTCATAGCTCACAGCAACCTCAAACTCTTGGGTGCAAGTGATCCTCTTGCCTCACTCTCCTGAGTAGCTGGGACTATCGGCACCTGCCACAACGCCTGTCTAATTTTTCAATTTTTAGTAGAGACTAGGTCTCATTCTTGATCAGGCTGGTCTCAAACTCCTGAGCTCAAGTAATCCACCCACCTCAGCCTTCCAGAGTGCTAGGATTACACACGTGAACTACCTTGCCCCACCAAGACACTAATTCTTTCTTTTTTTTTTTATTTAGTTATTTTTTTGAGAGTCTTGTTATGTCGCCCTCAGTAGAATGCCATAGCATCACAGTTCACAGCAACCTCAAACTCTTGGGCTCAAGTGATTCTCTAGCCTCAGCCTCCCAAGTAACTATGACTACAGGAGGCCACCACAACGCCTGGCTATTTTTTTGTTGCAGTTGTCACCGCTGGTTAGCAGGCCAGGGCCAGGTTCAAACCCACCAGTCTGGTGCATGTGGCTGGCACCCTAACCACTGAGCTATGGGCACTAAGCCAGCTATTTTTTTTGTTGTAGTTGTCATTGTTTGGCAGGCCTGAGCAGGGTATGAACCTGCTAGCCTTGGTGTACATGGCTGGAGCCCTAACTGCTGAGCTATGGGTGCCAAAACAAGACACTAATTCTTAAGTGTTAAAGAATACCTTTTCCATATCCACAGAAAGCTCAGCAAACCACTGTCTGGCATCTTTCTGCTGTACAACACAGGCTACATGTAGGCAAGCTGGAAAGAAAACAAGAGACAATGGCCCATGTTTAACCTGTAAACACAGAATACATAAACTAAAGATAAGATGTCTACTTACAAATTTCAAGTGCATTTTCCAACATTCCTTTAAAAAATTATAAAGCTTGCAAAATCAAGAATCAAAAAAAGAAAATAAAAAATTATACAGCTACACTGAATAGCTATCATTCACCATCAACTTAATCTGATATAGATTATGGAAAAATTGTCAGATGACATTAAATGGTCAAGACCAATTAATGGCTGCTTTTCACCATGTGCTAGTCATAGTGCAGTTGTCTTGAAAGTCAAGGTATATTACAGAGAAAAAAATCTAATAAGGAGATTAGAACAGGTATGTCATCCCTGAACACTGGTACAAAGTCAACAGTCAAATGTACCCAGAAGTCAGTGTGACAAAACAAAACAAACAAGAAAGTCAATCAACACACCAAGTTTTAGCAATGTTGACTATGTTTAGATGTTTCAATTAAAAGAGCACTGCCTTTCCTTTCTTTTTAAAGTTATTTGCATATGATCAAGTTAGGTGAAGACTGGGCACATCTATACAAATTTAGTGTTGTAATAAAATGGAGATTAAAAAAGAAACTAATATGTTATATATAATACAATTATTAATATATATATTGTAATCAAAATAAAGTAACAAAGATAGTAAAAGCGCTCAAAGACAAGAATCCACATTGCAATTTTGCCTATAACAATTTCAACTGAGCAGCCTGGCTACCCTGACCCCACCTTGGCTTGTTAATAGTTAAATTTCTTGGTTTGGTTACCTATACAACTTTGCGAATGATGACATTCTAGGAAAACAGCAACTCAAATGTGAATTGACATACTGGATGCCCCAAGTCAAACAATACTACAGCAGAGGGCTTAGGTCTAGAAGGAAGTAAGAGGCTAAAAGGATTGAAATAAGAACAGGTGATTTAAATACAGTGGAAAATGCCATGACAGGGGCATATATAGATTAGAGTGGAGGAGGCAATCCGGGCTGAGGTACTGCTGGGAGGGTGCTAAGAAGGATCACTGAAAAGGAGGTATGTGAGCCACATCTTTAAAGAAGGAGAGAAAGGGGGTGGCACCTGTGGCTCAAAGGAGTAGGGTGCTGGCCCCATATATTGGAGGTGGCAGGTGCAAACCCAACCCTGGCAAAAAATTGCAAAAAAAAAAAAAAAAAAAAGAAGGAGGAGAAAATGGAAAATGGCACGTATATAAGCTGGTAAAAAGAGGCCATAGATTTTATCCAGCAATTAGGAAAAGCACTGAAAAGTTTAATTTGGAGACAAATTCTACATTCTAAAAAGCTTATTTTAAATCAGGATTTTTCAACCTTGGCAGTATATACATTTTGTACTGGACAATTCTGAGACTATTTTGTGCAGTATGCTTAGCACCCTGGCTTCTACCTACCAGATGCCAGTAGCATTTCACTCTGGTTATGACAACCAAACCTGACACTGCCAAATGTCCCCTGTGGGCAAAACTATCCCCAGGTGAGAACCGCTAGCCTTGCTCAGGAGTGTGGGGGAGACAGGCTGTCTGAGCACAGGATGTGGAAGGCGAACTGGTCAGTTAGAAGACTGCTGTGGCAATCTGGGACAGAGGTGAGAAGATGGCTATGAGATTACTAAAGGGACAGCTTACCAAGAGAAAGGCAAAAAAGTACTGGTGACCAACCAGAGGTAGGTTTGAGGGAGATGGAAAGCCCAACTCCTGAATTCACAACTAAGATAATTAACTAGTGCTAGTCATCAAGCTAAAAAAGACATTAAAATGATGAACATAGTTTGAGGCAAAGTGATGAGGTCAGTGATGAGTCTGGGGGGCTATGTAAAAGGGAAAAGGATATGGGCAGATAAAGAAATCTAAATGTTCACCATATAACAGACAGTAGAAGCCATGGGTCGCTGTGAAAACACCCAAGAAGAAGAAAGGCAGCAGGGGCGGCGAAAACGGGGTACCCGTCCTGTGAGCCCCTCCTTTCTGCCTGTGCAGATACCTATGCATCTGAAGCCAGATGCTACTTCAAAATTCTTCCAAATTCAGTGTTTTCAGGGAGCCACCAGTACTATAGAAGTATAAATATAACCTATTTGTCACTTCTGATGTAAGAAGGCCAAGAAACACCAACATTTAAGGAATAACTGCACAGAGAAGCCAAGGAAAGTTAAGTCTGAACTGTGGAAAGCATGGGCCAAAACCAAAAGGATGGAGTTAACAGAAATCAACAGAAGGAAAAGGAACAGAAACTAGCAAGTACCTAGTAAACAGCAGGCATTATTTATTGCTCTACACACTAACTCATTTAATTCATTTTTTTTTCTTTTGCCAGAGTCATACTCTATCGCCTCAGGGTGGAGGGCAGTGGTGTCAGTCTAGTTTACTGCAACTTCAAACCCCTGGGCTCCAGTGATCCTGCTGCCTCAGCCTTCCAAGTAGTTGAGATTACAGGTGAGTGCCACCATACCTGGCTAAGTTTTTCTATTTTTAGCAGAGACATGATCTCACTCTTGTTCAGGGTGGTCTTGAACTCCTAAGCTCAAGCGACCTCCCACCTTGGCTTCCCAGAGTCATGCCTGGTCCCCTCATTTAATTCTGATTCAGTATGGAATTATTAATATCTCCCCATTTTATGATTAGGGAAACAAACCCAGAAAGATTGGACAATTTTCCCACAACTGTAAAGAAAGTAAAGTTTAAATCTAAGACTATCAGATTTCAAAGACTGTCATGTGTTTTAACTTATTACAGTAGTGCCTTCAACAGACAGTAGAATGGTGGCTAACTTCTCCCACCAGCAAAGAACCACAGAGGTTCCTTTATTCAACCTAAGTACTTAATTGAGCTTAGGTGTTTGAGACCAGCCAGGCACTGTGGTGGGCGCCTGCAGTCCCAATTACTTGGGAGGCTAAGGCAAGAGGATCACTTGAGCCTAAGAATTTGAGGTTGTTGTGAGCTACAAGGGTGATGAAGTGAGATTGTGTCTCAAAAAAAAAAAAAAAAAAAAGAAAAAGACATGAAAGATGGATCCAATTATTTTACATAAGTTCCAACTACTATTAGCAGGCTTAATTCTGAACTTTCCCCCTAAACAAACAAAAATGTTCTATTCAGAGACTGATTAAAATGCTTTTAAATGATTAAAAAAAAAAACTTACCATAAAAGGGGGTTGGGGGACACTAATCCTGATTTGTGACAGTTGCAGTTCATAATATTGAAAGTTCACATGCAAGTATTAGTCTATTACTTCATGGAACATAAAAACATAAAGTACAACAGGTTGAAATTTATTTTATAATGACCTAAATATATTTATAACAATTTAATTAAGAGAGGTAATACCACGCTTACATACCTAAAGCTATCATGAAAGGAGGATACAGTAGGCAAAGATCCGTTCTGTAGGTATCATTCACTATCCTCCTACAGAAATGTAAATCATATTATTACTGAAAGCAGAACAACCTCATGTGTACATTTCCTCCCAGGGAGGGCCAGATTTCCCATCTTTGTATATACTTATTTCCCTTTTCTATTACTGAAGCACAGCTAAAAAGGTGAAAGCATCAAGGCAAAGGGATAGCCACAGAATATGACAACAAATAACCACATATCAATGAATAAAACTACAGCTAAATACATTTTAAATGTCAAAATCTCCTAACTATAATATAAACACATTTGCCTCATTTTTCAAATATCATCTAAAATACCAGAGTTTATACAATAAATGTATATATGTTGAATACTGCCAAAAAGTATTCTGATTATTGTAAAAAAACTTCAGTATCCATTTTTACATTGTCTTTCCCACAAAATCAAATTTTAACAGGTATATTTATAAGATAATTTAAGATGCTTATCACTTTACAATTTTTTTTTGTTTGTTTTGTTTTTTTTTGAGACGGAGCCTCAAGCTATCCCCCTGGGTAGAGTGCCATGGCATCACGCTCACAGCAACCTCCAACTCCTGGGCTCAAGCGAGTCTCCTGCCTCAGCCTCCCAAGTAGCTGGGACCACAGGCACCTGCCACAACGCCTGGCCATTTTTTGGTTGCAGCTTATTTGTTGTTTGGGGGGCCCGGGCTGGGGATTGGAACCCGCCACCTTAGGTGTATGTGGCTGGCGCCTTAGCCGCTTGAGCCACAGGCGCCGAGCCATCACTTTAGAATTTATACCACTATAGTTATTAGAATTCAACAAATAGGTATTTTTGCTCAACATAAAATATCTTGGGGCACTAGTTTACTGACGTTAAAAATACTGAACTTCACATTTATTTGTCAACCTTCCTATCTAATAACATGTTACACTATTAATAACTTCTGTTCTAATTACCATGCAAGGGGAAGCAACATGTCTTCTTGGCCCATGTCCTGCACATACTGGAGCAAAGGTCTATAAGGATGATACACTATCAAGCAACAATCCTAGAAACAGTTTAAAAAATGTGTATGTATAAAAACAGATTTATTACAACACAAAAACGATCACATCACCCAACTGGTTTGTAACTGTGTCTTTCAAAGTGAAGTTCTCTAACTCATGCTTGCTTCCCTTTCATTCTCTTAAGTGGCAGCCCTAAGCTCTACTATAATAGTGAAGGCAGTGCTCTCTCTGGAATATACCTTGGTAAATCGGTTGGTAGTCAGTCAGCATCCATTCATTCCCTTAGAGACTCAAAGTGTCACATCTGCAACACACTGAAACCTCTTATTAGCCTATAAATCCGTAATTCCCAACTGGAGGAGCACAATTCTGCCAAAGACATAATCTAACTATAAATAACACTGCACACATACACAAACACTGTGCACATAATTTACAGTGGTTTAATGTCCTGACCTGTTTGTTTGTAATCCTTTTATTGTAGTTACTTACTATAGAACAGAAAAATTTTCCCACCCTAAGTAGGATATACAAATTATTTTATGGGCTACAGAGAAGATACTATGATTTCACTACCACGTGCATGTGGATGGTTTTAAAATGTACCTTCCTACAAATCATTTCTTTAAATAATTTCTGACCATTAAGTATGAAAATGTTTCATTCTATTAATCATAAGAAATGTACTTACCATTAGTTCTAAAAGATAGAATTCACATTCTAATATCTGTTTTAAGAAAAAGATTATCAAATGTCAACATGAAACTAGATGAGTCCACTTAATCTAACATAATTTATAGACATCATAATAATTTATTACAAAATTTTTACTAAAATTTTTTAATTAAGAAAGTAGCTTATATTAAAATGAACAAATGCAATAAAAATTACTTTTTACTATTGCCTGCAATTATGATTATAGAGTATTTCAATCCTTACAAGGAAAAGCCAGCCTCTTCTAAGCATTCTTTTCACCTTTTTTTTTTTTTTGACAGAGTCTCACTATGTGGCCCTCAGTAGAGAGCCGTGATGTCACAGCTCACAGCAACCTCAAACTCTTGGGCTTAAGCGATTCTCTTGCCTCAGGCCTCCCAAGTAGCTGGGACTACGGGTGCCTGCCACAACGCCTGGCTATTTTTTTGTTGCAGTTGTTTTAGCTGGCCTGGACCAGGCTTGAACCCAACACGTTCGGTGTATGTGGCTAGCACCATAACCACTGTGCTACAGGCACTGAGCCCTTTTCACTCATTTTTATTGAAAATATCCTTGCTCAGTGCCTGTAGCTCAAGTGGCTAAGGGGCCAGCCACATCAGAGCTGGCAGGTTTGAATCCAGCCCGGGCCTGTCAAACAACAATGACAACTACGACAAAAAAATAGCTGGGCGTTGTGGTGGGCACCTGTAGTCCCAGCTACTTGAGAGGCTAAGGCAAGAGAATCACTTAAGCCTAGGAATTGGAGGTTCCTGTGAGCTGTGATGCTTCAGCACTCTACCCAGGGCGACAGCTTGAGGCTCTGTCTCAAAAAAAAAAAAATCCTGTAAAATCTTCCCCTACTTTCCACTCAACAAATACAAAAATATAATTATTTGTACTTAATTTAAACAAATACAATTTTAGTAGAATGAGCAAATCCTTTGCATAGTAGAAAAAGAAAGACATTGTCAGTTGAAATGTCAACAGAAATTCATCTCACAAAATATTTCAAACTGTCCCACCGAAGTGATTCTCGGCTTCAGCTGCACATTAGTATCACATGGGAGCTTTTAAAAAGCGCCAATGCTGAGGGACCTTAAATTCTGAGTTAGTTGGTCTGGAAGGGATGCAACATTAGTAGTATTAAAAAGTTCCCAAGGTGATTTTGGGGGCAGCCAGGATTGATAATAACTACTATTAAGTATTTTAAAAAGTGATAAAAGCTACTTCATTATAATTCAAAAAAAGTCTAGATTCTTGTAATATTTGAAACTTCCCATATCTAGAAGACTATTAAGTTTATTCAAATACATAGTTTTGACAAATGTTTTATTTTCTACAGTATACTTACATGGTTCATCCTATAAGGAAATTCCTTTGGAAAGGCATATGAAAATCTAGTTTTTACTGCAGAAAACAAAAAACAATTTAAACTGAGAAAACGGGAAAACAAATTCACCCAACATTCCTTTAAAAGAGTACAGAATATTAGTGGGTAGGGCTAAACATTTTCAGTAGGAACTCTAGGCAATGTTTAGGGGTTTAGGGATCCAGATTTTTAATTTTCAGAGGAAAGGAAAAAATGAGTAGCAGGAACCCCTAGGTCACCAAATGTACTACAACTAGACAGCTTCGATTTTGTATTTTGTATTTATTTATTTAGAGACAGAGTCTCACTTTATCACCCTGGGTAGAGTACCCTTGCATCACAGCTCACAGCAACCTGGAACTCCCGAGTAGCTGGGACTACAGGGGCCTGCCAGGATACTCCGCTCTTTTTTTTGTTGCAGTTTGGCTGGGTCCAGGTTCTACCCCGTCACCTTTGGTATATGGGGCTAGCACCCTACCCACTGAGCCACAGGTGCCTCCCTTCAATTTTGTATTTGATATATTAAAAAAGGGTTCTGTTGCCGAAAAAATAAATTTTTGTTTTTTTTTGAAACACAGTTTCACTTTGTCGCCCCCTAGTAGAGTACTGTGGTGCCATAGCTCATAGCAAGTTCAGACTCTTGGGCTCAAGTGATTCTCTTGCCTCAGTCTCCCAAGTAGCTGGTACTGTAGGCGACGACCACAATGCCCGGCAATTTTTAGAGACGGGGTCTTGCTCTAGCTCAGGCTGGGCTGGAACTTGTGAGCTTAGGTGATCTGTCCGCCTTGGCCTCCCAGAGTGGTGGGATTACAGACATGAGCCACCACGCCCAGCCCCATAAAAAACAAATTTAAAAAATGGAATAAAATCATTGGCCTTTATTATCTTTAAAATCTTTCCAGGTCTAGAAGGTTTTTTTCCTATTCTCCAGTGATTTAGCTTAGAAGGAACACAGGAGTTGTATATGTGTTTACAATACAATATATTTGTAAAACAAAACAAAAAACCCATATATATACATATAATATACTGAAAGGATAACATACCAAAAATATGTTAACAGTAGTTATCTGAGATTTAAGAATTTTTTTACTAAACTATACTTTCTAAACTTTTCATAATGACTACTTATTTATCCAAAATATATTTTAATAAAGCATTTATACAAGGGGTCTAGAATTTTTTTCACACCATACACACAGTTATTACCCCTCTATTATCTACTACGTTGTTAGTCTATATAAAGTACAAATGAAAAAATGCTAACCATAAATCCCCCATCTCTTTAAAATGGTCTGTGTATAGATTTAAGTACTACCTGAGAAAACTGTTTTCCCATCATTATGATACATTTAACTCAATCAAGTAACTATGACAGGTCCTCAAAGATCTGTTTCGTGATCCCTTCCATTTATATAAAACCCCAAGCAAGCTCACTGAGATGAAAAAGAATTCCATTTATTCTAATAATATATTTTGAAAAATATTTTTTGTTTTATAAATTGAGTACCGTATAGCTAACTTAGATGGGTAACATCTGGCAGGATCTGGAACCTACAACCATTTAAACTTGACATCAGAAAATGTTGATTTTGAAAATGTATCTATTATCTATTAAGACTTCTGAGTTTTACAAATTCTTCTGATGTAAATAAGATGCAAAGTATAAAAGCACAAACAAGGTCTTAATATAATGGTTGACTATAAATAGGTAAAATGATCTCTATACAAAAAACAAATCTATATCCCTAACCCCTGGACCTTGATACCCTGCAACTCTACTGAAATGAGATTTACCTGATTCAGTTAACTTGTCTCTCACTCCATGCTAAAACTGCTGTGCATTTTGATTTTCTATCTTCTAATCCCTTTCTTCTAACTTGGAGGAAAATGCATCCCTCCTCTCTATTGTCACCCTCAATCACTTATACACTTGCTCTTATCTATCATTCAATTACTAGTTCGTACTATTTTTTTTTTGGTAGAGACAGAGTCTCACTCTATCACCCTTGGTAGAGTGCCGCGGCATCACACAGCTCACAGCAACCTCCAGCTCTTGGGTCTAGGCGATTCTCTTGCCTTGGACTACAGGCGCCCACCACAACACCCGGTTATATTTTTGTTGCAGCTTGGCCAGGGCCGGGTTTCAACTCGCAACCCTCGGTATGTGGGTCCAGCGCCCTACTCACTGAACTACAGGTGCTGCCCTAGTTCCTACTATTTTTATTTTCATCTTTAACTTATCCTCCTTTAAGTCTGTCCCATATGCTCAAATTTCCCTTAAAAAATAAAAAAAGAACTCTGCCTAATTATATTCCTGACTTTTTCTTTTTTTTTTTTTTAGTATACTCAATATTTTTTAGAACAGTTTTAAGTTTACAGAAAACTTCAAGAAGACAGTACACAGAATTCCCTCATAGCCACTATGGACCGAATGCTTGTATACCCCCCAGATTCATGTGTTGAAGCCCTACCACCATGTGTTTGTATTTGGGGGGAGGGCCTGTGGGAGGTAATTAGAGTTAGATAAAATCAAGAGGGTTAGCCACCATGATGGGATTAGTCTACTCATAAGAAGAGAGAGATTAGATCTTTCTCTGACTCAAAGAATTGATCTTTTTTACCACATTGATCTTAGACTTCCTAACCTACAATTATGAGATGTCTGTTGTTAAAGCCACCCAGTCTTATGGTATCGTCTTATTACACACACAGCAGTTTACGCACACTAAGACATGTCCTTGCCCAGGCATGACAGACATGAATCTGTTAACAATTTCCATCAGTACAGCACATTTGTTACTATTAACTAACGTCCACAGTTTATTCAGATCTTAGTTTTTACCTAACATCCTTTTTCTGTTCCAGGATCTCATCTAGGATACCTTAGCCTTCTAGATTTCTTTGTTTTTGATGATTGAGTTTTTAGGGGTTCTAGTCAAATGTTTTGTAGAATGCCTCTCCATTGGAATTTGATGTTTTTTTTCATGATTAGACTAGAGCTATGGGTTTTTGAAAGGAAGACCAGAGATAAAAGACCATCATCTCACATCAAGGGTACATGCCATTAATGTGATTTATCACTTTTGCTACTAACCTTGTCACCTGGCTAAGGTAGTGTTTGTTGGGTTTCTCCACTGTACCCCTTTCCATAATGTACACATTATAAAGAAGATACTACCTACAGCTCATACCTTAGAAGTGGAGATTTATGCTCCCCTACCTGAGACAGTAGCTACCTAAATTATTTGAAAATATCCTGTGTAGGAAATTAGTTGCTTCTCCCTCACTTACTTATACCAGTATGGACTCATGAATGTTTACTTTATACTACAGTTATAATGCAATACTACTTTCTTTTTTATTTTGTTCAGGTTCTTTTAGTTGACTCCTCCTGCTCCAGGTCCATCTTATATATTTCCTGCCCCAGGCATGAAATCAGCCATTTCTAAGAAGCCCTGGTTCCTTGTATTGGAGAATGGTATTAGAAACCAAGATCTGGGTACTGGGTGAGCTTGTTGTTATTGGGATGTTGTTGCTTGTAAACCCTCTCAACTGACAGAGTCAAGAAATACACACATTAATCAGTGTATGCAGATGTATATACTGATGTAACATTTGTATTTATATTAAGGTAAACTGAGTTTGTACTGTATCTCCAACTTTAATCCATCACCACATGGACCACTCTGGTCCCCCCCACCCATTTATCTATAAAGTCCCCCTCCAACAATGAGAAACATGCCTCTCAACATCTGCCATCTAGTCACGTAACTGTTCAGTTCCAGTATACAATCAGAGCATAATCAGAACCGTTAACTAGTATATCCAAGGGCAATAACTTTATCACTAGAGTAGCACAGTGCTTACTCGCAATTCTTCTTCCACTGAGTCTTAGACTATTATTTCCAAAGTTACTTAGGTCAACACCTTTTCTCCCCATTCTCTTTACCAAAGTTGTTTCATACGTGTAATATGGTTAGATTTTCCTTTTCTCAGTATCTATTCCTTAATTCCTTGCAATGTGGCTTCTACCTCCACCCCCCGAGGGCCTAATGACACTATATTCTCTCTCAAAGATCCGTGTTTTTCCCGCCTTGGTTCACCTCTTTTTACATGAAGTGCAAGACATTGCGTGACCCTTAGGTGTTATCAAGTTCCAAACTTACTGCTGGCCTCCATTCTTGTTTTTTTCATGTGTGTGTTGTTTATTTCTGGCCTCATATTCTTAAGATGATGTTCTACTGATACATTTAAAATGTCTAAGATTAAATTTAATTCTTTTCAGAATACTTATCCCCTTTTTCTGGTACCACCTTCATCTCCTCTCTGTCCCGACATGGAATCTCAACTCTCAATTTTTGGACTCTTCTTAAATCCTTTCTTTTCATAAGTTCTATCAACTCTATAGCTCAAGCTTGGCTTTCTTATTCTCCTTGCTGGCTGCCAACACATTAGTTTAACTTTGCCTTCATTAATGGTCACTTGGATTACTTCAACAACTTAAAAACATTTTTTATTCCACCTTAAACTTGTTAGCTTTTTTCCCTCACAGGACCCTGTAGTGACAGCACTTACTAAAGTTTGCAGCTTTATTATATTTCATAAGTTTTTTTAAACTGTAGCAAGACACACATAAAATTTAAGGTCTTTAACTATGTTTAAGTGCACAATTCAATGATATTAAATACATTCACACTTTTGTACAGCCTACCCTCATCCATCTGCAGAACTCTTTTCATTTTACAAAACTGAAACTCACACCTGGTAAATAAAAACTCCTCATTTCCCTCTCTCTCTGGCTGCTGGAAACCACCATTATACTTTTTTTTTTTTTTTTTTTTTGAGACAGAGCCTCAAGCTATCCCCCTGGGTAGAGTGCTATGGCATTACAGCTCACAGCAACCTCCAACTTCTGGGCTCAAGCGAGTCTCCTGCCTCAGCCTCCCAAGTAGCTGGGACTACAGGCGCCCGCCACAACGCCTAGCTGTTTTTTTGGTTGCAGCCATCATTGTTGTTTGGCGGGCTTGGGCTGGGGATTCGAACCTGCCACCTTAGGTGTATGTGGCTGGCGCCATAGCCACTTGAGCCACAGGTGCCGAGCCACCATTATACTTTCTATCTCTATTAATTTGACTATTCCAAATACCTCACACATGTAATATTTTAGTGACTGGTTTATTTCACCAACCATAATGTCCTCAAGGTTCATCCATGTTGTATCATATGAACAACTTCAAAATTTTTTCTCCTCACTCTTGCTTCCAATTCATCTTACATAATTCTGCCAGATTCATCTTCCTACTGTATATCTTCATGTTTAAAAATAAAGCTTTCAAAGGTACATTCCTCCATCTAGCATTGAAGACTCTCTATTAACTGACCTTTGCAAGGTAAATATTTTTTCCTTCTATTTCCTTATTCACCATTTCCTGAATATAACTCATTAGGTAGGTTTTTCTATTTTTTTTCTCTTCCAGAAACTTTTTGAAGGTTTCTTTATCTTTGACCAAACTATTCGATGTTTCTAGATCATCTTTCTCTGTATTTCCCCAGGTTCAAACTCTTTCTTCCACAAATTCTATGTAAGCCTTTCTTTCATCTAACAACCAATCATTTCCCACTCAAAACATTCACAATATTCTCTGTAGCTCTCTCATACCACTTTTACTTCCTTCTATATTAAAATTTTAAGTGCCTGTTTTATCTTGCTCTTAAATTCGTTGTGTTTATCTTGGTACCCACTACTGCATCAGTAGAGTGTTTTGCAGTGAAGATAATGATATTGGTGATGATGATAACAATGATAGCCACTAAGGTTCACTGAGAGTTATGGACTAACCTGTGTTCCTTCTAAAATTCATGCTGAAGCCCTATTCCCCAGTACCTCAGAATATAACTGCACTTGGAGAAAGGGCCATTAAGGAGGTAATTAAGGTTAAAAGAATTCACAAAGGTGGAACCTAATTCTATAGGACTTTTGTCCTTACATGAGGACATACCAGGGATGTGTGTGCATAGAGAAAAGGCCATGTGAGAACATAGCCAAAAGGTGGCCATCTGTGAGCCAAGGAGAAAGGCTTCAGGAGAAACCAAATGTGCTGACACCCTTTTTTTTGAGACAAGAGTACTATGGCCTCCCCTAGCTCATAGCAGGGGCAAACTTTTGGGTTCTAGCAATCTTCCTGCCTCAGCCTCTTGAGTAGCTTTAACTACAGATTGCATCACTATGCCTAATTAATTTTTATATTTTTCATAGAGAGACGATCTCACTTTGCTCAGGCTGGCTCAAACTCCTGAACTCGAGTGATCCTCCTGCCTCAGCCTCCCAGAGTAATGAGATTATAAACATGAGCTGCTGCCCTGTCCAGGCAAACCTGTTGACACTTGGGCTTTTAGACTATAGAACTGTGAAAGAATACATTTCTGTTGTTTAAGCCTCTGGTATTTAAGGCAGCCCCAGGAAAGTAACATACTAATCAAAGCACTACTATATAACCTTTATACTGTTAACTCATTTGATACAACGACTCAATGACAGACAAGGAAACTGAGGTTTAGAAAAGTTAAGTATTTCCGGGTGGCACTTGTGGCTCAGTGGGTAGGGCGCTGGCCCCATATACCAAGGGTGGCAGGTTCAAACCCAGACCGAGCCAGCTAAAACAGCAGCTTCAACTGCAACAACAAATAGCCAGATGTTGCGGCAGGCACTTGTAGTCCTAGCTACTCGGGAGGCTGAGGCAAGAGAATCGTTTATGCCCAAGAGCTAGAGGTTGCTATCTGTTGTGACGCCACAATACTCTACCAAGGGCGACACAGTGAGACTCTGTCTCCAAAAAAAAAAAAAAAGAAAGAGAAAAGCTATAATACACTGTAAAATTAATGACATGAATAGCCTATTATAAGATTTTCCTATTCAATGGTAAATAAACCTCTTATGAATATACTTTTTAGCCTTTGCATGAAAAATATATATACAACTATTATGTACATGTAGCAATTAAAAATAAAAAATTAAAAAATGTATATAAAGAAACCTTGGTAATATGTATCTTACATTTAAAAAATAAACTTTTTAAAAACTTAAAAAAGCAGAGACTAACATAAGAAGAAAAGAAGGCACCTAGAACCCACCATGCAGTGATGAACACTGCTAATAAGAACTCCTTTTAGTTATTTTATAATTGTTCAATACTTTGATTTTCCCAAGGATAATTCATTACTTCATCTATGTGATATACTGGGATATTAAACTTTTTGGCAAAAATGATTACTAATCTTCTACCCTTGTAAGAATTAAGACGTGATGTAGAAAAGATTGAATTAGATTATTATATTCTCAGAAAGGGGACTGACTCAAAAACATAAAAGTCAGTCTGGCTCATAAACTATTTTCTGCCTCTCCTGCATAGGTCATAGAAATTATAATAATTAAAAAATCTGAATAATCTTTTGCTAGGTGATGCTTTTGGCTTAACCTATAAAGATAGAACACAGCATGTTAATACTCACTTTATAGGCTTAACCTATAAAGATAGAACACAGCATGTTAATACTCACTGTGTAGTACTTTACAATTGTTACTTTACAATGTAATTTCCTTTAATGTTATGACTCACAAAGAGCTAAATCCCTTCTTTTTACATTTTTAAAATTATTATTTTTCATCACTCCTGAAGAGCTATGACTAAATCTCATTTTTCCAAATAAAGAACTAAAGCCAAAGGTAAAGCAGCTTGCTCAAGGTTATACAGATTCTTAGATATAGAACATAGCTACTCAGTGACAGAACTGGAATTCATGTTAGCTCTGAGGACTAGAAGTCAACCTTTTTTCTGCACCATATATGTATACTGTAAAAAACCTAATTCCCATCAAAGACAGACATTATGATTGCTCAAGAAATAGTGTAATCCACCCAGAAGAATGACATAACAGTCACTGGGAAACAATAAAATATAATAAAATTAGAAAATAAATTTTTCTTTACCCTTATCATAAAATTAAGAACTAGTAAGTTGATGTTTCTGGATTGATAATTACTATCCATTTTTAACATTAAAGTTAATATTTTAGAGATAATACTGTAGGTGGTTTTAAAAACACTTCATTTTGAACTTTCTTTTTTATTTTACCAAATAAATCAGTCATAAAGGTATCCTTAGGAGATTTAATAAACCTAACTAATCTCATACATGTCTCATAAACTAAAAATTTCTATGTACTATGAAACTTTCTTCAGATATATCCTTAAAGCAGATATACTTTTCGCACTTACATACAGAAGTAGCAGCAGAAATCAATCTTGTATTTGAGACTACTCCAAATTCCTAGAGAAAGAAAAGCAGGTGAGAATAGATACATATAACCCAAGGACCCTAAGGGAATCTGAGGTCTTTTCAAAACATGATTTCCTAGCTCCCCCTCATATTTATAGTCTGCTCCTTTCCCACCCACCTGAGGGGATTCAAATTATTAAATTATTATTAAATTAAATAATTATTAAATTATTCAAATCTCTAAAATGTGCAAGTTGAGGATTATTTATCAGAAATGCTTAGGACCGTGTTTTGGATTTTGAATATTTTATATATATATATATATAATTTTTTTTTTCAGACAGTCTCACTTTGTCGCCCTCAGTAGAGTGCATGGAGTCACAGCTCACAGCAACCTCAAATTTTGGGGCTCAAGCAATTCTCTTGCCTCAGCCTCCCAAGTAGCTGAACTATACAAGGCACCTGCCACAATGCCCCACTATTTTGCAGAGACAGGGGTCTCGCTCTGGCTCAGGCTGGTCTCCAAAATGTTGGGTCTCTCAGGCAATTCACCCACCTTAGCCCCCCAGAAGGCTAGGATTACAGGCATGAATCACTTTTTTTTGTTTTTATATTTTGGAAAATTTGTATTATACCAGTTCAACACCTCCAACCTCAAAATCTGAAATCCAAAATGTTCCAATAAGCATTTCCTTTTAATGTCATATCAGTGCTCAAAATGTTTCAGGTTTTGGAGCATTCTGTATTTTCAGCTTAGGGATACTCAACCAGTATTACTTTTCCTCAAAATTGCTACAATTCAAAACAACTACTTTTGCTACAATTTAAAACAAATACTTTTAAAAATAATAAAAAGTATCAAAGCCCTATAATGCCAGTGCCAGTTTTCTACCCTTAACTTAGTTTTAAAGAAGACTATTTGCAAGAATAAGTACTAAATATGCTTCCTCTTCACCTGAACCTGGACTAATAGATACTTCATGCCATCTAATAACAAAATGTTGAATCTCTGAATAAGATAAACTTTAATATCACCAAAAAAACCATATAAACAATAATTATTCTTTTTGGAACAGAGAAACAAGGATGATATAAAACTTCCAAGATCACTCCTTACTTTCTCTTTCAACTTAAAATACCACCATTGTAAAAATAACTAAAATTTATCAGGTAATTCACCTTACACATATTGTCTCATTTAATTTTCTCCTATGATTAACCTTGGAAGATTCCTAAAGCCTTTATTTCATTTTAATTTATTTTATTTCTTGTTATTTTTTAATTTTATTACTTTATTTCATTTTAACATAAAAATCAAGAATTGGTTCCTTATCCAACAAAAGATATTAAACTAAAAAAATCTGTTCTCCAATGTGGGTGAATCACTTGAGCTCAGGAGTGCTAGAGCAGCCTGAGCAAGACAAGACCCCATCTCTAAAAATAGCCAGGTGTTGTGGCAGGTGCCTGTAGTCCCAGCTACTTGGGAGACTGAGGCAGGAGAATCACTGCAGTCTAAGAGTATGAGGTCACTGTGAGTTATGATGTCACGGCACTCTACTGAGGGCAACAAAGTGAAACTCTATCTCAAAAAATTTAAAAAAAATTCTTAAATTAAAAAAATCTATCTGTTCAAATACTTCGATCTACATCCTTATTCTGTGTGGGGAGGATGTATATGTGGATATATATATTTAATTTATATTTACATTTAAATATCCAACTATAATAACTGAAAATAAAAAGCAAAAGCATCAGACATCTTCTTAAACACCATCTCTATACAGTTTCTACACAAGTATTAGAAATATTTGGTCAGAGAGATTCAAAATCGTAATTTGCTCCTTCCTTTCCTATAACACAGTTTATTTCCTTTCTTTCCCTTTCTTCCCTTTCTCCTTTCTTTTCTTTTCCTTGCTTTCACTCCCTCTCCTTTCCTTCTTTCCTTCCTTCCTTTCCTCCCCACTTCTTTCCCCGCCATCTTTCTTTAGAGATGGGATCTCACTAGAGCAGACCTACAACTCAGCTCAAGCCATCTAAGTAGCTAGGACTATAGGCATGTGCCACTCTACCCAGCCCTCAAATAATTCTTTATGTTATCTTAAAGCAAAAACTTTCACTCAGTAAATCATATGAGTTCTACTCAATAAAACAAATAATAAAAAATATTTAGCAAATATAATAAATTAAAATCCCCAAATTAATCTACAAGAGTAGATATTTATAAAGATTTTGCCTTGATATCCTAAGGCTTATGTACTTAAGATGCATAAAATAAAATTATTACCTGGCAATATTTGAATAAAATGAGATGTTACAATATTTGGAAAAATCACCCATAATAAAGGCCTTTCCTAAACATTTTTTTCCATTAAAGAACTTAACAACTATAAATCTGGTTCTACCTCCTTAAACTACTATTCACAATTAGAAAACTTTAAATCTCTACAAAGCTTGCCTTAACATTATTATTATTATTATTTTTGAGACAGAGTTTCACTATTTGCTCTTGGTAGAGTGCCGTAGCATCACAGCTCACAGCAACTTCCAACTCTTGGGCTTAAGCGATTCTCTTGCCTCAGCCTCCCAAGTAGCTAGAACCACAGGTGCCCACCACACCACCCGGCTATTTTTTGTTGCAGTTGTCATTGTTGTTTAGCTGGCCTGGGCCAGGTTCGAACCTGTGACCCTTGGTGTACGTGGCCATTTATAACCACTGTGCTACAGGCACTGAGCTTGTCTTGTCTTGTTTCTAATATAGTCAGCTCTCATTAGTTAGCTAATAGCTGGGAAAGATGTCATAGATAATTCCAAATAAGGGCTAAAACAAAACTTAATCATAGTGGGTATTAAAAAGAATGAATGTAAATCTACTAGGTTAAAATCATATTCCATATTCAAGGATACGATTACTATTCTAAAGACAGCATCCAAAAATAGAAACATGAATTCATTATGAAAACCAGCCAACATCTGCTATTGTCTCCTGGATTTTAGCTGAACGCAAAAATACTGAAAAGCTAAGTAAGTTGATTCAGTTTCAGCTACAAGTTGCCATTTCTCTTTTCTCCCTCACCTAATTTCTCTCTTTATCAACCAAACTTTTCTTTTTGAGACAGAGTTTTATTTTGTCATCCCTGGTAGAGTACCGTGGCATTACAGCTCACAGCAACCTCCAGCTCTCAGGCTTAGGTGATTCTCTTGCCTCAGCCTCCCGAGTAGCTGAGACTATAGACACCTGCCACAATGCCCAACTATTTTTTTGTTGCAGTTTGGCCAGGACTGGGTCTGAACCCACCACCCTCGGTACATGGCGCCAGTGCCCTACTCACTAAGCCACAAGCACCGCCCTTCGACCAAACTTTTTTTACTTTTTAGACTCTGTATAGCTATAGCTCACCCCAATCCTTGCCACCATTGCTTGCTTTCCCTGTAAATTGGTCAGCAGCCAATCATTAGGACACAAGGAAGGGAAGAAAGTAGGACATGAGCAGCACACAAATGAGAAGGAGGGACATTTTCAGGTTACAGTAAACAAACTGTGGCATTTACTGAATATTACTTGGTGTTAAAAAATAAATTATCTTAAAGGTAGCAAAGCAAAGCAGTTAAGAACACAGGATTAGGAACTAAACCCTCTTGATTCAAATACTGGCTCTGCCACTTTCTAGTTGTATGATCTCAGGCAAATTCTTAATCTCTCTGTGCTTCAGTTTCCTCATTTATAAAAGGATACTACTATAATAATTCCACAGTTTGTACATAGTGAGTGCTACATAAGCATTTTTTAAATTAATATATAAAATAAAGACAGGGATATATTTCTTTGATTTTGTATAATTTCAATATCTTGCATCTATTATTACTTTTACATAGGTTATATGAAAACTGGGGCAAATGAACCAACATACATTGACTATGCTTTGATGAAAAACAGAAAATTATTTTATACCTCTACTTTGGATGCCAAAAACACACATGTAGGAGCCATTAATACAGGATCTATACTTTTCAGAGAATACCTAAAATTTGATAAAACAAAGTCAGATATCATTCATACTGAGGGCACACTGGATAAAATTAAGGTAACTCTATGCATGGCAAACACATGATTTATTTATACTATACTGAAGTTCATCAATATTAAATAAGAGTTTCAAATAGACATAACACATTCCCAAATAAAACAGCCCTACCTGGCATAGAATCTCTTGAAATAGACTGTAGCAGTGGCGATAACCTGTTGTCTTAATTTAAGATGTTCACCTAATGCTTGGATAACTAAAAGGAAAATGATAAAGTTTAAATGTATCTTCTGGTACCATTATAATAGTAACAATGAACAATAATTTCTACGTAGTTAAATCATGACTGTATTCATTTTTAACACAGGAAAAACCTACCCAAGCTATTAAGCTCTATATTATAGATCACAGTGATCTAGTACCAGGATCTGCAAATTTGTTAAAAAGAAGGTCATTTATAAGCCCCTCTCCACAAATGCCCCATAACAAAAATTATTACTATTTTTGTTATTGCTGGGGCTGGGTTCAAACCTGCTACCCTCGGTATATGAGCTGATGCCCTATTCACTGAGCCACAGGCGCTGTCCTATTATTATTAATTTTTAAGAATCTCACTCTTGGCCCAGGCTAGAGCTCCATGGTATCAGCCTAGCTCAAAGCAACCTCAAACTCCTAGGTTCAAGAGATCTTCTTGAGAGCCTCCAAGTACCTGGGAGTACAGTCCCCTGCCATAATACCAGGCTAATTTTTCTACTATTAGTAGAGATTGGGTCTCACTCTTGCTCAGGATGGTCTCCAACTCCTGAATTCCAGAGATCCTCCCACCCCAACTTCCCAACGTGCTAGGACTAGGGATCCACCATCCCTGGCTGCAAAAATTATTCTTGCATTCAGGAGGTTGAATAATAAGTATTTCTTCCATCTTCTAAATATTTTCAATGCTTTTCATATTATCTTTATAATAAATATAAAAAGAAAATATTAGCTGTCTATCAAAGTCATTAAAATACCTTCTACAATTTACAAAAAAATAAATTCTACGTATGATGAATCCTCAAAACAACAAGAAAAGTAAGCTTGCAAAAGAGTGAACTAAAGGTTAGAAAGATTGGGTAGCAAAGCTACCACAAAGCTTCTGACTCTTAAATCTTCTTGCCTCCAAAGCAAAGTTCTAAAATACAAATGATCACTATAGCATGACAATCAAAGAATTCATTTATCCTCTAAGTCAGTGGTTCTCAACCTAAATGCCACAATGTATTTTCACTGTTAAAAAGGGGTTGTGATCCACAGGTTGAGAACCGCTGCTCTAAGTGCTTTAACCTTAAACCAGGTTTAATAATGCCTTATGAAGGGTTAGCGAGATTAGTCAACACTTTCAAACTGTCTTGAGTGCCCGAGACACTTAAGATTCACCAAAACAAACAAAATATTTAAATCACTAAAAAGAAAGATCCATGAATATAAGTTGTGAAAAAAATACACGTAAATATAAAAATGTTAAATGAATTAAAACAGTTCACAAATTACCATTTAAAAACATTTTAATTCAGAGATAACAACTATACAATTTCAACCAATTAAAAATAAAAACATTTACCATTTGTAAAAAATATTTGTAATTTCCAATATTCTTCTTCTGAGAGAAACTTTAAGTCCTTTTGGCGCTCCTTCAACAAATCTTGTTTATCCAAAATCCATTGCAAACTAGAAGAAGATGTTAAGACACGCTATAGATAATCAAGCAACAAGTTACAGACAACACTCAGACTAAACGAGTTGCTCATATTCTGAGAAGTACAAAGTGCAAGTACCATAAAAGACAATATTTCTAACATTTCTTTTTTTTTTTTCTTTCTTTTGCTGGACACAAGTAAACTATCTCACATTTCTTGTAATGTGAATGTATACACAAACATGTCCTGGAAAAAAATTCTTATCTTTTCTTTCTTCCTCCTCAGTTTCTATTACTGTATTTTAGTGATTCTAAGAGTCTGATAGCAAGACACGTCTTACAACCAGTGATGCCTTAACATTTCCGTCTGCAGTATGTTTACTCTTTCATAGGGACATATAAAATAATGGTGGAATTATTTGGCATCCATTAGCGGCACCTTAGACTTGGTAAAACAGATTGTTTCTCAGCTCTTCATTAGTAACTATGGTATTTCATCCCCCTACTTCACTAATCCAATCATACTAAAATCTGCTTCAAAATTTATTACACTGACAGCCTCCTCCTTCTCTGGCTTAGTTAAGTGTACTATTTTTAACAAGAGATATGAAATTGATATTACTCAAAGCACTATTCTGAAAGCTGTTTTTGTCATTCAGTATGTATTGTGTCTTCATGTCAGTGAATTTATTATATTTAGCATCCTTTAAATTGTGGCACAGCATCATAGATGAATTATTAGTCATTCCCTATTGACAGACATATAGGTTATCATTTTTCACCATTACAAATAATGCATTAGTGAATACCTTTGTAATGCATCCTCCATATTTAATTAATAATATATATTTGAAATAATTTCCTAGAAGTAGAACTAAGAACTGGGTCAGTTTTACAGGTAACTTTGACACACACAGTTTGCTCTCCAAAAATTTACATGGAGTAAACGCTTGGTTCTGTCTACTTCTTTCCCTTTTGCTTCATGTGTACCATGAAATAAATGGTGAGGTCTGCAATTAGGAAATAGAAGTTCTGGAAGCCCTCTGCCATCTCGGCACTGGTCCAGGTTCTTCATTATTTTGTCCAAGGCCAATAAGTCTTTTTGATTTTCCAAAAATCCAGGGAACTCCTTTTCCATGAGAGCTCTCAGGTCTTCCTTTGTTAAGTAGGCTTTAATGGCAGCAAGTTTGTGAAACATAAACATCATGGTTTCCATGGCATGCTCCATTTGAAATGGCATTTTGTTTAGGTCTGTTAAGTCTGGGCCGAGAGTTGGAAGGCTGAGAGCAGAGTGCTGCAGGTGGCAACCTATATGACTCTTTTGTACAATGTTAATTCTAATATCACTATTTTTCTAATGGGATAGCCAATTTTTAAAATTCTTTTGATCTAAAATTTGTATATTATGGATAATAAATCATTTGTCTGTCATATAAGCAGCAAAAATTTCTCTGAAGTTTAAATATTTTGGTATTTATCTGTAATATAGACAGCTGAATTTGAATCATTTATTTAAATCCATTCATCTTTTATGTTTGTCATAAAAATGATTGAAATGATAAAAAATAATTCACTCACGTATTTTAACACCCTGCAAGGCTTTTTCTCCTTTAATTCATGATCCATCTGAAATTTATTTTGGTATAAAGAGTACAGTAGTGATCCAGCTAAATGTTTTGTCAAATGGTTTTCCAAATGCTGTTAGGGAGTTCTTTATTTATAATTCTATCATTATATTTGGATCTTCTTTATAATTTTTTATCTTTGTTTTCTACTTACTATAGCATGCTATTTTTAAACACAGAAAATTAAATAATTAACATCTGGTATAGAAAATATCCCATTACTACTATTTTTCAGAATATTTCTGACTACTCTATCACCATTATTATTCTAAGACCTGAACTTTAGAATCGTTATGTCAAGTCCTGAAAAAGAATATCCATTAAAAATTTTGCTTGGAATTACATTCAATTTAAAGTACAGAGAGTACTTAAGAGAGTAAGATAAGTACAGAGAGAAATGACATCTTCCAGTGCTAGAATTTCAACCCCATTTATTAAAATCTCTGTTCCACTATAGTTTTAAAGTTTTCTTCCTATAGTTTTCCTACTATATACTTCTTAATTCCTTAGTATTTTATATTTTCTGTTATTCAAAGTATACTCTTCTAACATTCATTTTATTTTATTTTACTTTATTTAGGGGTTTTTTTGAGACAGAGTCTTACTATGTTGTCCTTGGTAGAGTGCCATAGTGTCATAGCTCACAGCAACCTCAAACTCTTGGGCTTAAGCAATTCTCTTGCCTCAGCTTCCCAAGCTGCTGGAACTACAGGCACCTGCCACAATGCCTGGCTATTTTTTTGTCATTGTTGTTCAGCAGGCCCTGGCCAGGTTCAAACATACCAGCCCCATTATATGTGGCTGGCGCCCTAACCACTGAGCATAGGCAATAAGCCTCTAGCATTCATTTTAAAAAATGGTTTTCTCTTTGTATTCTGTAACTAGTCATTGTATTAAACCTTTATTATTTCTAATAATATTTAAATTAACTGAATTTTCTAATTAATTGTATTAATCTTTTTATATCCCATTGACTAGTATATTCGGAAAGTGTTAAAACAGGTACCCTAATTTTCTTAATGTTTCACCATTAAATATCTCTTGCTGATACTTTGGTATGCTTTTCATGTTAAAGAAGCATCCTATTTCTGGTTGGGTTTTTTTAGGGGGTTGGCAGGGACATAGCCTCACTCTGTTACCCTGGGGTTGACTGCCATGGCCTCAACCTAGCTCATAGCAACCTCAAACTCCTGGGGTCAAGTAATCTTTCTGCCTCATCTTCCTGAGGTGCTGGGACTACAGGTACCCACATAACACCCAGCTAATTTTTCTAACTATTTCTATTTATTTATTTATTTATTTGCAGTTTTTTGGCTGGGGCCAGGATTGAACCTGTCACCTCTGGTATATGGGGCTGGCACCCTACTCCTTTGAGCCACAGGCACCACCCTAATTTATTTATTTTTTGAGACAAAGTCTCACTTTTTCACCCTTGGTAGAGTGTCATAGCATCACAGCTCACAGCAATCTCAAACACTTGTACTTAAGTGATCCTCTTTGCCTAGGCCTCCCTAGTAGTTGGGACTACAGGTATCTGTCACAACACTGAGCTATTTTTTAGGGACCGGGTCTCAGTCTTGCTCAGGCTGGTCTTGAACTCCTGAGCTCAAGCAATCCACCGTCTCAGCCTCCCAGAGTGCCAGGATTACAGGCATGAACCACTGTACCCAGCCTACTATTTCTGTTTTAATAAGAGCTTTGGTCAAGAACAGATGTTGAAGTTTATTAGTTTTTTTAATGTCTTCACTATTTAACATATTTCCTAATACTGACTTTATTTTACAGTAAAGAACTTTACTATAAACTTTGTCATGTTTTATACTTTTAATATAATATTAGACTCCATTTACTAAGACTTTATAATGTTTGCATCAATACATGTGAGACTGCTTTTAGTGCCTCCTTTGCTAGATTTTCCTATAAACATTATTGTGACTTCACAAAGAGAAGTAGAGAGCTTTCTTTCTATGTGAACTAGAACAATTTCAAAAGGAGATTCTTTCAAAAACTGAAACAAATTTACCCATGAAATAATGTGGGCCTGGAGTGTTTTTCATGAAGTTGTTCTCTGGTAATATTCTTAACTTGTTTTGGCTTTCAAGTTCATTACCATGAAGACAACCCAAAGGTACCTCTGATTTATTTACTTTTCTCACTTCTAATTTTGTATTTTTGTATCATCCTTTTTTTGATTTAACCAACAGTTGTTTGACCTACTGTTTTGGTTTTCTCTAAGAACCACTCTTATAATTTTTTTTCTTTTAATGCATTAATGTCAGTGTTATTTTTAATAAATCTTTCTTTCTGTTTCCTTAGGTTTATTTCACTTTCCTTTTTAATATTCTTGAGTAGAATATTTATTTTTAATCTGTTATGCAGGATGGGATTTTCTTTTCTTTTCTTTTTTTTTTTTTTGGAGACAGAGCCTCAAGCTGTTCCCCTGGGTAGAGTGCCGTGGCATTACAGCTCACAGCAACCTCAAACTCCTGGGCTCAAGAGAGTCTCCTGCCTCCGCCTCCCAAGTAGCTGGGACCACAGGCGCCCGCCACAGCCACAACATCCGGCTATTTTTTGGTTGCAGCCATCATTGTTGTTTGGCGGTCCTGGCTGGGGATTCGAAACCGCCACCTTAGGTGTACGTGGCTGGCGCCTTAGCCGGTTGAGCTATAGGCACCGAGCCCAGGATGGGATTTTCTAATAAATTTGGCTTTTGTTGCATCCCATGTATAGTGATCTAATGTTATTTTCTAGATATTAAGTAACTGTGGTTTCAGTTTCTTTTTTGACACAATATCCACAGTGGTTTTGTAGATTTTATGTTCGTTACCTGTTCAGTAATGCATTTAATCAACCAGCAAGTATTTAGTGCCCTTCTAGTTCCTTATGATCAGAGAATGTGTTTTGTTCTACTTTACCTTTCTGAAATACATATACTGTGCCTTGCTAATCAGTTTATCTCTGCAGGGTCACTTTGTATTTTTTTTTTTTGTGGGGGAAGTCACTTTGTATTTTTAAAAAGATAAATTTCACAAACAAATATTTAAAAAATTTTTCTTATAGCACTTTATATGGAAGAAAACTAAGAAGACTTAAAAATACTGCATTTCATCAAATTTAAGATTACATGTAAGATTCACCCTATTTCATGTGTTACTATAAAAGAAATTACCATATTGATTTCAGAGATATTAAAGTGTGAAAATACGCATCTTAAGAGGTATGAAATACAGAATATTTCATGTCAATTTTTCTTTTTCACCAAATTCACCTAAGACAATGGCCTTTCATAATTTGTTTTTGCTCTTCAGAACTGTCTTGTCAGATCAGGGACTCCCTCATAAGTCACAAAAGATTTAAGTAAGGCAAAGTGATCTCTTCCTCCAGGACAATTTGAATTGAGAAGCAAGGACAGCATCAAAGAAGCACATTTAACTTAATAATACTTTTACATTTGAAAAATGAAAAAATTGTTTTCATAAGGCCAGGAGCAAATGAAAATATAATGAGAACATTTACAAAAAGGTAAGAGGGAATTTTTTTTTTAATTCAAAGTTGAAAAAAACCATCAACAGCTAGCTACCTATCAAGTCTCTCAGCTTCTTTCAAGCTTATCAGAATCTCTTCACCACCTAAACCTTCTATATTTTAACTTTGGTCAAGCAAGTATTTCAGTGTGAAAAACAATGCAAAATAAAAATATTATCCTCAAGTAACGCTTCTGTAACAGTTCAACTCCACCAAATCACTTTATAGCAAGGGAAAAAACCCCTATTTTTTCTTAAATAGGTTTCTGAGCCCACTGTTTCTTTTTCCCTCGTGTGAAGAGCTAAAAAAATGAATGAACAATAGGAATCGATTCAATGCACAAAATTAAAGTTTAAATTAGTTGTTAATGCTTTATTAGCATTAAAAATTACTAAACTCTTTATCAAGTTCCATTCATCCTTCAACTACACAGTGGAAAATTTAGTGTATTTTCAATTAGCCCCACAGCATACCTTCCACCTGCTTAAGCAAATGTATTTAGGGGTGTTTTAAATGTTACTCTAGGTCTTCCATGGTCACTGACAGAAATATAAACTTATTCATGAAAAAGGTTAAATTGGCCAACAAATCACTGGAAAATACACTTTTAAAACAAAATATAAGGCACAGGCTATTAAGGTAGATGCATTTTGACAGCACCTGCTCTACACCTTATCAAAAATAAAACTCCACCTAGGCATAAGGTAGTGGAAGGAAGCAGTTAGTAGGCAGAAACAAGCTTGACTCCCTCCTCTCCTCCTACAATATATCCACTCAAGATAAAAGGTGAATGACAAAAGACCAGGATGCCCATTCTCTGAAGAAATCCTAAGCAAAAGCAAGCCGCAACTGTCCTGAACCCGAGCCTCACGGTCCTAAACTGACTCACACTTGCCGTACCTGTGCCCACTCCATCCTACTCCCCGCGGCCTAGCTAATCCAAGCATCCGAAATGAAATACCTCCTAAACCTTCCTTCTCGGGAGACTAAAGCCCCTTCCCTCACCCTTCCAGCTCACAGATCCTTCCTTCCCCCAAATCAGACCTGGGGGTGTGGAAGAGGGTCGCTTTAGAAAAGCTAGTCTCCCTTCCGATAGCCGCCACCTCCCGGGAGTACCCCCCGGTGCTCGACACCAAGGCTGGGATCCAGGCCCAGGGGAGTTGCAGGCCCAGTTCTCACCGTCCCCCAAGAACCGGCCCCGGATAAGACGGAAGATCACTTACTAGTGGGAGCTCTGCCAAAAGTTCCCCGCCATGGAACACAGCTTGCCCTGATAAAAAAGCACCAGCCGGCGGAGCGGCCCGCGGAGCGACCATAGACACAGCCCGTCCGGTAACCGCGCTCCCGGATCAAATCAGCTCGGCTCCGCTCCGCGGCGGCGACGGCGAGAGGAAGAGGATGGCACCCTATTCTCCTTGACGCCGGCCGGCAACACTCAACTGCGTAAACCCGTTCCTAAGGACAAAAGTTCCGGTCCGCCCCACTGCAGCGGAGGAAGCTGGCGGGGAAGCGACAGCCTGTAGGCGCGCCGAGTTAGGAAACGGGAACTTGTGCTCGCCGGTGCTCGTGGCGGGTGGAAAGCTCTCGCGAGAACATCGTGCCAGTTCTGTCCTAGAACCCGCACAGTTCGATCTTCTGTTCTTAGCACTGGAGTCGCTGAATGGGCATAACCTGGAGGACGTGGCCTGCCTGGAGATTCTATCGTTCCGTTTTCCAGGCCTCCAAAAACAGCACGATGGTGTAGCAGAGCATAAGGTTTTATGACCTAATTTCTTTTCCCTGCTATTGCAAAGAGAATTAAAAGATGGCTTTGGCTTTATGTATCAAGCATTGTAAATGGAGTTCCTACTGGCACCAAACTATTTTTAAATGAGTTCTTTTGGAATGTTAACGCGCAAACTTTTTTTTTTTTTTTTTTTT